AGAGAATGAGAATTTGAACTGAGGCTAAAATAGATCACAAATTTAAAAGCTGGTAAAGTAAACAAAAAAGAAACACTAAGTTGCCAATTTTTCATTGTCATCCAACTCATTTACCTCTGTTCTTTAAGGGAAGAAACTTGCCATCCTTCCTCAGCCCAGGCCAGCTACAATTCTGAAGTATAAAGCACCTCCTCAAGGGAACTAAGTAGGTGCTATAAGTCTTGTCCTTACCAGTCACACTGAAGGAATTCTTTAAGAAAAGGCCTCTACAATATTTACCACATTGCAGCTGCTGCAAATCTCTTCCCTCGGCAGTTGTTGCAACCAGAATTTGAAAACTTGCAAATTGTAATTGGTAGACTTTTCTTGAGTAAGGGTGTTAAAGGAATATGGAAGCATGTCTGATCCAGCAGAATGGTAAGATGTGATTGATGGGCTGAGTGGACCCAGTCTCCTTTGTTCACTTCAGACTCGCCATTTTGTAATACAGTCATAGAGATGTACAGCATGGAAACAGACCCTTCAGTCCACTCGTTCATTCCGACCAGATATCCTAAATTAATCTAGTCCCATTTGCCAGCATTTAGCCCATGTCCCTCTAAACCCTTCCTATTTATATACCCATCCAGATGCCTTTTAAATGTTGTAATTGTACCAGCCTCGACCACTCCCTCTGGCAGCTCAATCCATACACACACCACCATCTGCGTGAAAAAGTTGCCCCTTAGGTCACTTTTAAATCTTTCCCCTCTCACTTTAAACCTATGATTCTAGTTTTGGACTCCCCAACCCTGGGGACTAAGGTCACACCTCAGCATCCATTGCTCCAGGGAAAACAACCCCGGCCTATTCAGCCTCTTCCTTTAGCTCAAACCCTCCAACCCTGGCAACATCCTTATAAATATTTTCTGCACCCTTTCAAGTTTTGCAACATCTTTCCTGTAGCAAGTATTTAATTTCTCAAGGTCGAAGGTGGCATAGTGGGCATATCAATGAATTATTAATAAGAGCATCGACAATAATTCCAGGTTCAAATCATTCCAGAGAACTGGCAGGATAAGAATTCACTGAATTGAAGTCTAGATTATAGAATCATAGAATCCCTACTGTGTATGCAGGCCATTCAACTCATCGATTCCAAACTGACCCTCTGAAGAGCATCCCTCCCAGACCCACCCCTATCCTATTCCTGTAACCCTGCATTTCCCATGACTAATCCACCTAGCCTGCATATCTCTAAGGACAATTTAGGATGGCAAATCCACCTAGCCTGTGATTGTAAAACTATGTTGGTAATGGTGACCTGAAAATATGATCAATTGTTGCAAAATCCTTGTGTGTTTCACCAATTTCCTTTTGGGATGGAAAACCCTTCCTTACCTCATGTGACTTACATGAGTCTCCAGATCCATATTAATGTGGTTGGCTCTTAACTGTCCTTTGAAATGGCTCAGTAAGCCATTCAGTTCAAGGACAATTAGGGATGGGCAACAAATGCTGGCCTTGCCAGTGATACCCACATCCCATGAAAGGATCCAATTCTTCAAAGAAGACAACCCATTCTCGTTGTAACAACTAGGCCCTCCTTGATCTCAAAAAATGTTGCTGTGACATTTTTTTACTTCACAGAAACTGACTGATCTTCTGGAAGCTCTTGTTTCAGAGTTCATTTACTCTCTCTTTGTATTATGTGATCCACTGCCACGGAGATGGTATTGTTAACTCCTCTCTCCCCCTTTCTCCCTCTCTTTCCACTCCTCACCACTGGCATCTCTCAACTTAATGAGCACAAACTTCAGCTAAATATTTAAAACGAATCATTTTTAATTGTAATTAGAAAAAGGCTCACAAAACAAATATGATAATAAGCAATAAATGTCAGGGTGATTCATCCATCCTGAACTGTTTTATTAATGGTTGGTAAAAATAAATGATTCAGCAGGCATTGTGCTGGAAGAGGGAATCCTACAGCAAACTAAACTGTTTACCATTCTCATATAAATAAAGGGATTTGCTAATTTAGGCAGAAAGAAATTCTTCAAGTGGCAGTGCATGTTTGAACGCTGCTGCTATGTCCAGAAATGCCTCTACTTCCTCAGGAGGCTAAGGAAATTTGGCATGTCCATAATGTCCAATCTTACCAATTTTTATCGACGCACCATGGAAAGCATCCTATCTGGATGCATCACAGCTTGGTATAGCAATTGTTCTGCTCAAGACCACAAGAAATTACAGAGAGTTGTGAAAGCAGAACAGTCCATCACGAAAACCAGACATCCCTCCATTGGAGGTTTCTAGTGGGGCACATCAATGAATTATTAATAAAAGCATCATCAATAATTCCAGGTTCAAATCATTCCAGGGAACTGGCAGAATACAAATTCACTTAATCAAAGTCTAAAGCCTCAGGAAAGCAGCCAACATGATCAAACTCAATCTCCCAGTCCAGTTATACTCTCTTCCACCCTTTTCCATTGGGCAGAAGATACAAAAGATACAAAAGCTTGAAAACGCGTACCAACAGATTCAAGAACAGCTTCTTCCCTGCTGTTATCAGACTTATGAACAGACGTCTCATATATTAGAGTTGATCTTTCACTGCACCTTCTCTGTAGCTGTAACACTATATTCTACATTTTGTTCTATTATCCCAATGCACTTATGTAAGGTATGATTTGCCTGGTTAGTACGTAAGACAAATATTTTTCACTGTATCTCTGTACATGTGACAATAATAAATCAAATCAAATCTAGATTAAGGCCTTGGTGTTCCAAAAAAAAGATAAAATGTTAAATTTCAAAACTTTACAAATTAGGTATCAAATATAAAAAATTTGGAAACAGAATATTAACAGCTCAGAGGAGGTCAAAGATAGTAGGAGCTGCCGATGCTGAAGTCTGAGATAACAAGGTGTAGAGCTGGATGAACACAGCAGGCCAGGAAGCATCAGTGGAGCAGGAAAGCTGACATTTCAGGTCTGGACCCTTCTTCAGAAAAAAAAACAGACCTGAAGCGTCAGCTTTCCTGCTCATCAGAGAGGTCAAGTTGGCCGGTCATGTATCATTCGAAGAAAGTCCCACTTTCCGCTAAGTTGCATGACTCCAAATGCTAATGCAAGTGATTTCTAACAATGAAGTTAAGTCTCTAATCATTCCTGTAGTTACGAGGATGAGGGAGATAGTGGGACCATAAAGAGAACTGCATTCCATTCCAGTCTACCGAGAACCTTCCTTACGATGTTTTGTCCAGTGTCATAACAACCATTAGCTCTGCTTTAAGGACATTTGCAAGTGTGGTATCAAGGTCCTAAACATTGTTTTCTGCCTCTGAGATCATCAGGTGATGGGGTCAAAGTGTGCCACCATGACAACCCATGGATACAGAGGGTTGGCAACAGATGATCGACACCAAAACCAATGCCAAGCCCACACCAAGACTTGTTGGCCTCATGTGCAGCACTTGTAGAAGAACCTGTGTCTCACAGAATGGCCTCCTCATTTCTCTGAAGAAAGGGTTTTGGTTGCATCTTCCGTAGAAGGAAGGATGTCAGGAAAAGAAAATAAATTTATTTAGGTTTAGATTTAGATTTTTATTGTCACGTGTGCTCAAGTACAAAACTACAGCAGTATGTGAAAAGTGTATAATGTCGCCACACAAGGTTCCATCTAAGATCCAAGCGCCTAGTTATAGAACGATAAGAACAAGGTAGAAAGAAAGTACAAAGTTAAAAGTTAAACATTACAGTAATTCTTAGTATTAAGTAGAAAAATAAAGAAATAAAGTGAGAAGTCAAACATTACAATCTTTCGAAAGTGCTACAGAATTTAAATTCCCTAGTTCCCTAGATGGTACAAAATTAGGAGGTATCGTTGATAGGGAAGAAGGTTATCAAAAATTACAAAGGGATCTTGATCAGATGGGGAAGTGGGCATGGGACTGGCAAATGCAATTCAATGCAGATTAGTGTGAGGTTTTGCACTTTGGAAAGTTAAACCAAGGTAGGACTTATACAGTAAATGGTAAGGTCCTGAGGAGTGTTGTGGAACAGTGGACCTAGGAGCACAGGTACATAGTTCATTGACAATGGCATCACAGGTAGACAGGGTGGTTAAGAAGGCATTTACCATGCTGGCCTTCATCAGTTGAGGCATTGACTATAGGAGTTGGGGTGTTATGTTACAGTTGTATAAGTCGGTGAGGCTGCACTTAGAGTATTGTGTACAGTTTTGGTCACCCTGTTATAGGAAAGACACAGTTAAACCGGAAAGTGTGCAAACAAGATTTATGAGAATGTTGACAGGACTAGTAGGCCTGAGTTATAGGGAGAGGTTGGCCAGGATAGGACTTTATTCCTTGGAATATAGTAGAATGGGGTGACCTTATTAAGGTGTATAAAATCATGAGGGGCATAGATATGATGAATGCATATAGTCTTTTTTCCAGGGATGGAGAATTGAAAACTAGAGGGTATACATTTAAGGTGAGACGGGAAAGATTTAAGAAGGACCTGAGGGACAACTTCTTCACACAGAGAGTGGTGCGTGTATGGAATGGGCTGCCAGAGAAAGTGGTTGAGGCAGGTACAATAGCATCTTTTAAAAAACATTTGGATAGGTGTATGGACGGGAAGGGTTTAGGGGGATATGGACCAAATGCGGGTAATTGGAACTAGCCAAGTGGGTATCATGGTCAATACGGACCAGTTTGGACTGAAGGGCCTGTTTCCATGCTGCATAACACTATGAGTCTATGACGTGCTGAGATTTGAATACACATCTCCAGATCATTGTCAAGTCCACTGGATGACTCATCCAATATATTGGCATATTTCAAAGATGGCAAATTGATTACTTTTATCTGTAGTTACCTTATGATACAGTGACTGAGCAATCTCTTGTGTAAATATTATGTACACAAGTAACTTCTTTCCACAATATGATAACCTTTCAGGGAAGAGTGCTGATTTGGATTCAACTCCAATATAGCATTGGTCACTTACCAACAGATTTACAGTGCAGCTCATGCTGTGGGCCTGGTTTTCATCATTCATTACAGTCCTGTAGTCCAGCAGCCTTTCCAGCAGGCCAGTTACCAAGGCAACAAACACTTCACCTTGCTTTTCCAGGTAGTGATATATTTTGCAGTGTTTCAATAGGCTGAATTTTAAAACAAGAACAAGAAGAGAAGTTTGGTCATTGCACGCTTTTCTGAGGAATCAGGACATAACTTGCCGACTTCTCTCTCCACACCTGAGAAAAATATGGGCCAGTGGATGAGAGTCAGAACCAATAGCTCATCAAGGATGGCCACATGCTAAACTGATCCAATTCTTCGTTCTTCCTGGAGTCTCTTTTTGACACACACAACAAGACCTAGTGGTATTATTGCTGGTCTATTATTCCAGAGACCCAGGTCATGTTCTGGGACCTGCATTCAAATCCTGCCATGAATTCACCAACAATCTAGAAAAAAAAGATTTTAATGATCACCATGAAACCAGTGCCAATTGTCATGTAAAACCCATCTGGTTCACTAATGCCCTTTAGGGAAGGAAACTGCCATCCTTGTCTAGTCTGGCCTACATGTGACTCCAGACCCACAGCAATGTGGTTGACTCTTACCTGTCCTCTGGGCAATGAGGGATGGGCAATAAATGTTTGTCCAGTCAGTGATGGCAATACCCAATGAATAACAAAAAAAAACTTATTCTGTCCTTACAAAAATATTCCGAACAGATTGTTTTCCCACTTCAATGCATGGTATTAAATATTTACAGTCCAATTATTGTTAATGTTAAAAGAAGAGAGATTTGCAGTAACAAGGGAGAGTGGGACTAGGTGTTTTTAAAAAGCTGACAAGAATACAATGGGCCAAATGGCCTCCTTCTCTGTGAGTTTATGTTATTTGGTGATGAATTGAAATGTGAGTACGTGCAAAGGCCAGGGTCAGAGGAATGCGCAGATCCCTGAGATTTGTTAGCTTGATGGTGGCCACAGATTTTCAGAGGTTGTGGATGGACAGGCCCATGGAAGAGGTGGGGGATTTGTACCTAAGGATGAGAATTTTTAATGTTGCCCAGCTCAACAATTTTTCCCAACAGGGCTGATAGCTCGTGCTAAGTTTGCAGCATGTTCTGTTTTTGCATGTAGTGGCTCATGTCGGGTTTGGCTTTGATAGCATCTGTATTCCCGTTGTAAAAAGACAAACATGTCTTTCAATGTTTTAGCCAAGATTTTACAGCTGGACTAACACCTGAGTTTGCATGACATTCTATACTTGGTTTCTATAATAAACCTAATGACGTAAACACTCAGAACAGAGAAGGAGCCATTTGGCCAACGAACCTGTGTCAATTCTTGGAAAAGTCTACTAAATTGTTCCTGCACACCCTTGCTTTTTTTTTCCCAGAACTCTGCAATATTCAAGAATTTATCTAATTACTTTTGAAAGTTACCATTAAATCTGCTTCCACCACCCATTTCAGCTGGCTCTTTCCAAAAATACTGCTTTAAGTAAAGGTCTCCTCGTCAGCTCCCTGCCAGTTCTTTTGCTATTATCTTAAATTAGTGTCACAGACTCCCATCAATTATAATTTTTCCCTCTCCACTCTTTCTAAACTGTAGGCGATTTAGAACACCTCTGTTGTTTGTTCCTTTAAACTTCCCTGCTCTAAGGAAAATCCCAGTATCGCTTGTGCTCCCAATTTAATTCCTGGTAAAGGATCATCATAAAGAATGAGATCAAGTTAATGTTTAAAATAGCCAAGTGTGAGCGAGGGAGTTCCAAAATTTTGACCCAGTGACACTGAAGAAATGGTGATAAACCTCCAAGTCAGGATGGTGAGTGACTTGGAGGGGATCTTGCAGGTGGTAGTGTTCCTATGTAGCTGTTGACTTTGACTTCCTCATGGAAGTGCCCGTGGGTTTGGAAGGTGCTATCCAAGGATCTTTGAGGTGTTGATGGTGGAGGGAATGCTTGTTTGTGGATGTGCTGCCAATCATATGGGCTGCTCCATCCAGGATGGTGTTAAAGCTTCCTGAGTGTTGTTGTAGCTGTATCCAACCAGGCAAGTGGGGAGTATTCCATCACACTCCTGACTAGTGCCTTGTAGATGAAGGACACACTTTAGGGAGTCAGGAAGTGAGTTACTCACTGCAGGATTCCTAGCCTCTGATTGTATTTATGTGGTGAACAGTATTTATATGGTGAGTCCACTTCAGTCTCTGGTCAATGGTAAGCCCCCAGAATGTTCACAGTGGAGAATTCAGTGATAGCAATGCCATTGAATGTCAAAAGATAATGGTTAGATTCTCTTTCATAGGAGATGGCTCCTCTCTCCTGAATTGCATTGTGGTCTACCGATCGTACATGGATGCCACAGTTCAAGAAGGCAGTTTACGACCAGCTTCTCAAGGGCAACTAAGGAGGAACAAAATGCCCACATCCCATGAGTGAATTTTGAAAGGAGATAAAGACCTACATCTTGTAGGGTGTGAATGTTACTTAACAAAGACTGAGATTGCTAGATTTTAAGGGAATCAGGGCAGCTAGTGATAGAATGGGAAAATGGATGTGAAATTGAAGGTGAGGGAGGAGATTTAAAAGGGACCTAAGGGGCAACATTTTCACGCAGAGGGTGGAGCGTGTATGGAATGAGCTGCCTGAGGAAGTGGTGGAGGCTGGTACAATTACAACATTTAAAAGGCATCTGGATGGGTACATGAAACAGAAATGTTTAGAGAGACATGGGCCAAATGCTGGTAAATGGGGCTAGGTTTATTTAGGATATGTAGTCAACATGGATGAGTTGGACTGAAGGGTCTGTTTCTGTGCTGTATATCTCTATGACTCTGGCATATAAGTTGTAATTTTTTTTGGCTCCTGTTGCTTATGTTTTTAAGTGGACCTTGCATGACTTTGTGCCATTGAAAGCAGAGATGCTAAATGTTGCAGTCTGCCAAAGGCTTGCAAGTTGCATGCAATATCATTACAAGTTCAAGTCTCAGGGCAGTTTTCATTGTATATTGCTATGACGAAATCAGGCAGTCTAACAGGGTCTTGCATGAGTTATTAATCTCTCACCACACAAGAATGTTTATAATCAGAGTGGCATGAAGGCTAACTACACACAAGGATGAACAAAGCTGTTGGCACTGGATAGAAACCTGGGAGATGATTACAGAGTGATGCAGAAGAGGTAGAAATCTATTATATTGAGTCAGGTGTCATCTTATCCATTCCAAAACAGAAGCTAGAAAAATGCAACCCACCAGTTTGCAAGTAACTCAAATCATTCATAACCTCCATCCCTTGATCTCCATTCTTTCTTTCTCTGCTGGTCCCTTTGTGCTCTGTTTGAAGCCCTATTCTAACCTCCTAATAAGCACTTCGATCATTCTAATCCTTTCTTTATTGTCAATGTTTAAACAAAAAACTTTCTTTGACAAACATTAGCCGACCTAATTTAGGTCGATTTAAGAGTTCCCACTCTGAGTTTTTTCTCCTTTTCCAATATTGCACAATTGTTCTTTTTGCTTCTTAATGTCTTTTCTGAAACTGCTATAACAAATGATTCCAGCTTCCCCTGTGGACCTCTGCCGCAGTAATATTGGCAAACCTTATATATGAGCCCAGACAGTGTAACCCTCAACCTATTCAACAAACAGTAGTCAATTTCCGATCAAGTGAGGCACAGTCTGCAGTGTGGAGTCAGAATAGCATTTGTTGAATGAATAATGAAGGGGAACCAATTCATTCACCACGACCAGAGTCACTTGCCACCCAATCAGCACTCTCTTTTCATGCACTGTAGATATTGGATTTCTCCTTGAATTGGAATTTTTGCAAATTTCCTGATGAGCGCGTCAACAAGATGTCTGTCTTTCAGCAATACACAACATGATATGTTCAAGATGCTATATAAATGCAAACTGTTGTTGAAGTTGTACAAGGTGCTGGTGAGGCCACACCTAGAGTACTGTGTGCAGTTTTGGTCTCCTTATTTGAGAAAGGATGTAATGGCACTGGAGGGGGTGCAAAGGAGGTTCACTAGGTTGATTCCGGAGTTGAGGGGGTTGTTTATGAGGAGAGACTGAGTAGATTGGGATTATATTCATTGGAATTCAGAAGATTGAGGGGGGATCTTATAGAAACATATAAAATTATGAAGGGAATAGATAAGATAGAAGTAGAGAGGACGTTTCCACTGGCAGGTGAAGCTAGGACAAGGGGGCACAGCTTCAAGATTAGAGGGAGCAGATTTAGGACTGAACTGAGAAGGAATTTCTTCACCCAGAGGGTTGTTAATCTATGGAATTCCTTGCCCAGTGAAGTAGTTGACGCTACTTCAGTAAACGCTTTTAAAAAAAAGGTAGATTTTTTTTGAACAATAAAGGAATTAAGGGATACGGTGAGAAGCGGGTAAGTGGATCTGAGTCCACGAAAGGATCAGCCATGATCTTATTGAATGGCGGAGCAGGCTCGAAGGGCCAGACGGCCTACTCCTGCTCCTAGTTCTTGTGTTCTTGTGTTCTTGTGTGTTCTTGTGTTCTTGAGGGAATATTGCTCCAGCAAGTGATTTGAGACTTTTAAGACTACATACTTTTCCTTGGGTTCAGAGGCAAAACAATGTTGCGATAAGGATGGAGCCAAATCCAAATGTGTATGGCCCAAGGTGGAATGGATTTGAGGTGCTGATTGATCTTTTATAGTCGGAGAACTTTTAGTCAGCACATTTTCAATTTGGGTTTAAAAGGAGTGACTGTGTGTGATATTTCAAATGATTGGGCAGGTTTGATATAAACATATTATTTCCCCTCTTTGGGGAATCTAAAACTATAGAACATAGAACATAGAACATAGAACATAGAACATTACAGCGCAGTACAGGCCCTTTGGCCCTCGATGTTGCGCCGACCTATGAAACCAATCTGAAGCCCATCTAACCTAAACTATTCCATTATCATCCATATGTTTATCCAATGACCATTTAAATGCCCTTAAAGTGGGCGAGTCTACTACATTTGCAGGCAGGGCATTCCACGCCCTTACTACTCTCTGAGTAAAGAACCTACCTCTGACATCTGTCCTATATCTATCACCCCTCAATTTAAAGCTATGTCCCCTCGTGCTAGCCATCACCATCCGAGGAAAAAGTCTCCCACTGTCCACCCTATCTAATCCTCTGATCATCTTCTATGTCTCTATCAAGTCACCTCTTAACCTTCTTCTCTCTAACGAAAACAGCCTCAAGACCCTCAGCCTTTCCTCATAAGACCTTCCCTCCATACCAGGCAACATCCTGGTAAATCTCCTCTGCACCCTTTCCAATGCTTCCACATCCTTCCTATAATGCAGTGACCAGAACTGTACGCAATACTCCAAGTGCGGCCGCACCAGAGTTTTGTGCAGCTGTAACATGACCTCATGGCTCCGAAACTCAATCCCTCTACCAATAAAACCTAACATACTGTACGCCTTCTTAACAACGCTATCAACCTGGGTGGCAACTTTCAGTGATCTATGCACATGGACACCGAGATCTTTCTGCTCATCCACACTACCAAGAATCTTACCATTAGCCCAGTACTCTGTATTCCTGTTACTCCTTCCAAAGTGAATCACCTCACACTGTTCTGCATTAAACTCCATTTGCCACCTCTCAGCCCAGCTCTGCAGCTTATCTATGTCCCTCTGTAACCTGCAACATCCTTCCGCACTATCCACAACTCCACCAACTTTGGTGTCATCCGCAAATTTACTAACCCATCCTTCTACGCCCTCATCCAGGTCATTTATAAAAATGACAAACAGCAGTGGCCCCAAAACAGATCCTTGAGGTACACCACTAGTAACTGAACTCCAGGATGAACATTTCCCATCAACCACCACCCTCTGTCTTCTTACAGCTAGCCAATTTCTGATCCAAACCGCTAAATCACCCTCAATCCCATGCCTCCGTATTTTCTGCAATAGCCTACCATGGGGAAACTTATCAAACGCTTTACTGAAATCCATATACACCACATCAACTGCTTTACCCTCATCCACCTGTTTGGTCACCTTCTCAAAGAACTAAGACAAGCACTACCATGCTTTCTGCAATGCTATAAAATTACACTGAAGGTTAACTTCCTCTGAAATTTTTTTTAAAAATCCTCTTTACAACAGCAACACTACTTCATTGAAAATACTCATTCGAATGGAAACTTTTTAATCGTTATTTATACATGTCTGTTAAAACAGCATTAATAGGAGGACAGGAACAATACAGGACTGCATTCTTAACAACAGTGGTATTCCATTTCATACGGTCTGGGGATTTATGGACACTATAAGCAGATACTGGTGCGATTTCCAACCAGATCATTTAAAAGAAAGACTTCTCACGACTGTTCAAAGGTGCTTTACTGCCAATGATATTGCTTTTAGGAGTGATTGTGGCAATGGATAAAATGGGCCTGTTATTTTCTGCACAGCAAGCCGACACAAATGGCAGTACGGCAACGCCAGATAATTTGTTTCTCGTGATGTTGAATACAGGCTAAATATTGGGTCAGAATCCTGGAATTCCCTCCCTAACAGTATTGTGGGTTTACCTCCAGCACATGGACTGCAGCGATTCAAGAAGGCAGCCCACCAGCAAATTCTCAAAGCACAAATAACTACAGGCAATAACTGCTGGCCCAGCCAGTGACATCCATGTTGCATTAGTGAACGTTTATGATGGCAGGAAACAGAGAGTGGTGGCGGAGAATTGAGAATTGTTTTTCGGACTGGAGGCCTGTTACCAACGGTGTTCCATAAGGATCGGTGCCACGTCCCCCTTGCTTTGTCGTTTATATAAATGATTTAAATGAGGATATAGAAGGCATGGTTTGTAAGCTTGAGGATACACCAAAATTGGTGGTATAGTGGAGAGTGAAGAAGGATATCTAAGATTACAAAGAGATCATGATCAACTGGGGGTGTGATGTATGAGGAGAGATTGACTAGGTTGAGATTGTTTTTACTCGAGTTCAGATGAATGAGGGGGGATCTCATAGAGACTTATAAAATTCTAACAGGACTAGACAGGGTAGATGCAGGGAGGATGTTCCTGATGGTGGGTGTGTTCAGAACCAGGAGTCACAGTATGAGCATTTGGGGTAGACCATTTTGGACAGAGATCAGAAGACATTTCTTCACCCAAAGAGTGGTGAGCCTGTGGAATTCATTACCACAGGAAGTAGTTGATGTCAAAACATTGAATGTATTCAAGAGGCGACTAGATACAGCACCTGGGGTGAATGGGATCAAAGGTTACGGGGAGAAAGCAGGATTAGGCTATTGAGTTGGACGATCAGCCATGAGCGTGAAGAATGGCAGAGCAGGATCAAGGAGCCGAGTGACTTCCTCCTGCCCCTATCTTCTATGTTTTTATGTTTCTCTGTCACTAGGCTGAGAAGTGGCAAATGGAGTTTAATTTGGATAAATGCGAGGTATTGCATTTTGGTAAAACAAACAAGGGCAGGCAGGACTTATTCAGTTAAAAGCAGGATCTTGGGTAGTGTTGGAGAACAGAAAGACTTGGGGTTCAGGTACATAATTCTTCAAAGTTTGTGTCACATGTAGGCAGGGTGGTCAAGGAGACATTTAGCACACTTGCCTTCATTGCTCAGACCTTTGAGTATAAGAGTTGGGATGTCTTGTTGAGGTTATACAGGACATTGATGAGGTCTTTTCTGGAGTACTGTGTCCAATTCTGGTCGCCCAGTTATAGGAAGGTTATTATTATGCTAGAGAACGTTCACAAAAGATTTATGAAGGTGTTGCCAGGAATGGAGGCTTTGAGTTATAAGGAGAAACTGGATAGGCCGGGATACATTTCTCTGGAGCGTAGGAGGTTGAGGGCTGACTTTATGGAGGTTATAAGATCATGCACGTTATAGATGAGGTGAATGGCAGGTGCCTTTTCCCTACAGTGGGGCATTTCAAGACTAGGGGGCATACTATTAAGGTGAAAGGAGAAAGATTTAAAAATGACATGAGGCGCAAGTTTTTTACACGGGCAGTGGTTCATGTGTGGAATGAACTTCCAGAGGAAGTGATGGATGCGGGTACAGTTACAATGTTTAAAAGATATTTGAATAAGCACATGAATATGGAAAGTTTGGAGGGATATGGGCCAAGCGCAGGCAGATGAGACTAGTTTAGTTTGAGATTATGGTCAGCATAGACTGGTTGGACTGAAAGAGTCTGTTTCCGTGCAGTCTAACTTTACAACTATGAATCTGTGTCTCCTTTCCCCGCCCCAAACTTCTTTGAGATAAGTCCCAAGGGATCTTTGACATTCAACAGAGAGAACAGACACCTTTGATTTGCTGTCTGAAGGTTCCACCGGTGCAGCGTACCCTCAGTAGTTCACTAGAAGCTCAGCCGCAGTGTGGAGTGGGACTTGAATATGCAACCCGCATACTCAGATGATACCCTCTGAGCGATATTTAATACTGTATCATGACTTTCGAAATGAATGACACAGCACCAGTGCCATGAAGATGCTAAGAGGCATGTACAGTGAGAGCAGGGGGAGCACCTCCCAGCATGCCCTCTCTTTCCCATCAGGCCCCTCGATCAGGCGACCTGTCAGTGAGGAACAACCCCCCATTCCATAAGTCCATGAGCAACCTCCCATGTGGGTCTGCTTCTCGTATTCCCCACATGACGTGCCCTCATCCGCTGCTGGCTAAGGCAGCGTTGGTGTGAGATCCTGAGTGGGAACCAAACTACCCACAAAAAAAAAGGCATTGATTGGCAGTATCAGCAACCCCATCCACCAACTTCCCACCATGGAATTTAATCAGCATGGAGATGGGAGGTGGGGTCCCCACTCACCACCCTCTCACCTGATGCCTTGTGCCTGCCCACCACAAAATGCAAGATGGGGCAGGACATGTGTCAGACTGTGGAGAGAGAAAGCAGCACTAAGGTTCCAGGTCCAGTGACCCTTCTTCAGAACTTCAGGCTATTTTTCAGTGGTCCCTGGAAGCTAGCTTACGGAGGTACCTGGTCCATGCTTGTGTCAAAAGCTGTTCACAGGGGATGCTAAGAGGAATAGGCTTCTCAAGGGTAGGAGTAGTCTATAGCTAATGGCATACATCAGAAAGCTACTTGAGAAAGGTCAAATGGAGTCTTACTGTTGCCTTGAGCATCAATTGAGGACCCACCCTTGCCTCAAGCCCCTTCTCCACAGGTTTAAACTGGCACTGCTGCCCTCCCATCATCCATCCTTATCAAATTGGTAAACCATATGTTAGTGGGCAGTTCCTTGAAATAATGCTAAGGGGGCCTGAGGCTTCACACTAACTTAGTGCCTCCTGCTGGGTGAGAGCACAACCAGAATTTGGAGCCTAGTTCTTGCCTTGCAAGTTGGCCGAAACAAATTTCTCCCCCGTTTGTATCCATCTTGCACATCCGTGATGTCATTAAAACAAAGATAGAAGTCCCTATGGCAATGAACTTACATATCTTTAAAGAGATCCTTGTATTCCTCATCTCCTCGACCGCCTTCCACTTCATGGTCCAGGTTTTTGATAATTTCATCCTCAAACTAAAATTCAGAAAATAAAGAGACGATCAGGTTTAATGCCAATCCATTAACAGCATTGTTTAAGTTTTACACCTTCTTGGTCAGCATTGTCAACTGCACATTAACTAGCAACACATTGAGTGGGTCTCACTTCTAGACTACATGATCAGTAATTCGGTATTATGAGCCATGGTTCAATGGGTAGATCTCTCAGCTCTGAGTAAGAAGCCTCTGAGTTCAACTCCCACTCCAGAGACATAAGTATAAATTCTAGGCTGTTACCCTCTCCTCCCCTCCCAGTGCAATATGAGGGACTGTAACTCATTGGAATTTAGAAGAGTGAGGTGGGGATCTGATAGAAACAGATAAAATTACAAAGGGAATAGATAAGATAGAAGCAGGGAGGTTGTTTCCACTGGCGGGTGAAACTTGAACGAGGGGGCATTGCCTCAAAATTAAGGGGAGGAGATTTAGGAGTGAGTTGAGCAGGAATTTCTTCACCCAAAGGGTTGTGAATCTGTGGAATTCCCTGCCCAGTGACACAGTTGAAGCTATCTCGTTGAATGTTTTTAAGGCAAAGACAGATAGATTTTTGAACAGTAAAGGAATTAAGGGTTATGGTAAGTGGGCGGGTAAGTGGAGCTGAGTCTCAAAAAGATCAGTCATGATCTTATTAAATGGCGGGGCAGGCTCGAGGGGCCGGATGGCCTACTCTTGCTCCTGGTTCTTATGTTCACATGAATTCACTGTTCACTATCGGTGCCATTAGCAACGGTGCATGGTGGCTCAGTGGTTAGCACTGCTGCCTCACAGCGCCAGGGACCTGAGTTCAATTCCACCCTCGGGCGACTGTCTATGTGGAGTTTGCACGTTCTCCCTGTGTCTGTGTGGGTTTCCTCCCACAGTCCAAAGACGTGCAGGTTAGGTGGATTGGTCATGCTAAATTGCCCATAGCGTTCAGGGATATGTAGATTGGGTGGGTTATAGGGGGAATGGGTCTGGGTGGGATGTTCTGAGGTTCAGTGGGCACTTGTTGGACTGAAGGGCCTGTTTCTGCACTGTAGGGATTCTATTACATTTAGGACGATCGATTAAACAGAGGATCTGATTGCATTCTCTGATAAATGCACTGAAATCCCACAGTGTTAATAGGAAGATGAGGAGGAATGATTTCTCTGATTTCCTGGCCAAAATTCCTCAACCAGCATCACAAAGGTGGAGATTATCTGGTCCTTATCCCATTGCTGTTTGTGGGACCATGCCATGTTGGAATTGGCCGCTGCATTCTTAGCCTGCAAAAGTGACCATGTTTGAAAGTACTTTCACGGATTCAAAACATTTTGGGACAACCTGACATCATCCCAGGTCCTGAGACACTAAGTTACTTCTTTCAGTCTCGTTTCCATTTCATAATTGCTGCCACTGCCCGAGTTCTCCCTCCCTCCACCTCAACCCCTTTCACCACCTCCACTCCTGCAGTCTCCTGTATGACACTAGAAAGAGTGTATAGCGAGGGAGGCCAAGGTAACATCTACATTTGTTCCACAGTTGAACTGAAGTTTGCGCAAGATTGTAATGAACAAATGTATTGTCTACACGAGTGTCAACCCTCTTTCAAAATGGAGCCTGGTCATCAACGTAGCAACATTGCCAACTTCCCCTGTCACCACCAATGTAAGATACACCTATCTCACAAAATTCTGAGGGGGTTTCACAGATAAGATGCTTGGAAGATATTTGCACTCATGGGGGAGTCTTGAACTAGGGGGACACAGTTACAGAATACTCATAAAACTGAGATGTGGAAGAATTTTCCCTCTCAGGGTAGTGAACATCTACAATTCTCTGTCCCAGAGACTAGATCACTTAAAGCATTTAAAGAGCAGGTAGGTAAAATTGTGAAATGTTAGGAAGTTGTGGGTTGTGGGGAACTGTCATGGAAGGAGAGTTGAGCACTGGGGTGGATCAGCTATGATCTTATAGAAGAGCAGAACAAGCATGAGAGGCTGAATGGCCTACTGCTGCTCTTATTTCTTATGCTCAATTGGTGTGCTAGGAAGCCATTGGAAATGGACCCTGATCGTTCCAATCTCCAGCTGGGAAATCACAGCAGTGAATCTTTATATTTGTGTCACACTTCCAAGCAAACTCATTTTATCTCTGCAGGGGTGACAAGGTGATAGCTTCTCTGTGTAACTTTACAGCATCAGAAGGGAGTTGTCCCAAAGTTCGCTGCAGTTATCTGCTGGTCTCCAAGAGATTTCATCAACAGAGGGTCCTCTCCAACCCAAGATAATTAGGACATGTAAAAACACACAGGTTTGAGAAATTATATTTGCAAATGTAAATCAATAATGAGAGAGGCCAATTAACATTTAAATTAAGCAGCCATGAGCTCCTTCAGACGTGCCTGTGATATTTATTCCTGTAATTGGCCACCTATATGGCATTGAGACATGAAGACTTGTGCAGATCTACCCAGATGCAGCTGAGGTAATAGCTGTAATTTCTCTTAATAGGCCTGCTAATTAAATCCTTTAGTGCTTGTCAGTCTTCCTGTAGTGTTTGATTTCTCTGTTTTCCCATGAATACACACAAGGTATGATTTGCTAAATTAGGGGCTTGTCAGGGTTTATATCGAAGCTAAAGCAGCAGACAGTTAGCAACTTTAAGAGATGATGCAGAGCATGTGAAAGATTGTCATTTCACCTCTTGACACAACTGTGATTAAAAACTGTCAGCTTAAGGAAATAAACATACATCCGTTGCCATCTCTCAACATGTCTGGGTCTTGAGTGTAGTTTTGGCACAAGGTGTTTTCAACACTTAAAAAATTCTCTACTTATATATTACATAAGCTCTGGGCATTGCTGGTAAGACCAACATTTATTGCCTGATCCCAATTCCTTGATAAATGGTGGTGAGTGGCCTTCTTGAACTGCTTCACTCCTTGTGATGTAGAGACATTCCCGCTCTGTTAGAAACTTTGGATACAGGAGCAGGAATAAGCTATTCAGCCCTTTATGCCTGCTCCACCATTTAATATGATCATGACTGATCATTCAACTCAGTCCCCTGTTCCCACTTTCTCTCCATACACTTTGATACCTTCAGCCTGAAGAACTTTATCTAACGTTTCCTCAAAAACATTCACATTGTTTGGCCTCAACTATTTTCTCTACTAAAGAATTCCATGGGATCATCACTCTCTGGATGAAAAAATTTCTCTTCATCTCAGTCCTAAATGCTATGCCCCCTAACCTTAGACTGTGACCTTCTGGTTCTGGTCTCCCTGGTCATTGGGAAGTCCCTTCCTATGTTTACCCTGTCTAAGATATAGTTTATTGAAGGCCAATCACTCTCAACTCACAGCTAAAACTTGACTCTTTTGTCCATGTCTGGAACAAGGCAGCCAAGACATTCAGGGTTGAGAAACTTTGATGATACACAGGCAGAGCCTGGAACTGTTCACACCACCTTCCATCATTTTGCTGATGATCAAAAGTAGACAACTGGGGAGAGGAAGGGGCACAGGGTAGTGGATGGTGGTATGTAACTGGCCATTTTGGACTCGCCTTGCTTTGCCATGATCTCTGGATGCTGGGAATTTTCCACTGTTAGAATGAGCTGCCTTTAATTCTCGATGACCTGAAAGGGTGCTTCAACTCCCAATTGTGGGTGGTGCTTTGGGTGGACTGTGTGGAGTTTTCATACTCTCCCTGCGTCTGTGTGGGTTTCCTCTGGGTGCTCCGGTTTCCCCCCATGGTCCAAAGATGGGTCCAAAGATGGGCAGGTTAGGTGGATTGGCCATTCTACATTTCCCCGTAGTGTCTAGGGATACATGTTGGGTGGGTTAAACATGGTAAAAACCCCATGCGGGGTTATGGAAATGGTGTGGGAGGATGAGTCTGAGGGGGATGCTCTTCAGAAGGTCGGTGCCGACCCGATGGGCAGAATGGCCTCTGTTTGCACTCGCTGGTACTTGCACAGTGGCTTAAGAGAGCAAGTGTTCCTTATTGTTCATTATTATAGTTCCTTATTATATATTGTCTTTGAGACCAGCGGAAGAACATAAGGAGCGAGCTATGAGCAGATCCTATGCAACTTTTGGCTCAATGTGATTACACTAGGAGCCTGGAGACCTTAAAGAAAAGAGTTAATGATTTAATACTTCAGTTCAAGCCTTTCATCAATGCCACATATTCCTGCTCAAACAACACTAAGGGACGCAAACGTATTTAAGAAAAATGAAAGAGAACAAATTTCTTTTTTAACAATGACAATTTCTGCATCGGTGATAGTTTTAGGCAAAGAGTTAGCAGGTTCAGAGGGTCTCAAACTCACTTTGCTCCCACTCTCCCACTTCTCTCAAAGGGTTGTGAATCTGTAGAATTGACTACACTAGAATGTGGTGGACACCGGGACATTGAGTAAAGGAGACGATAAACAGGTTTTTAATTCGGAATGAGTTCAGACAGGGGTGAGAAAGTGGAGCTGAGACTGAGCTGAGATCAGCCAGATGATAATAAAATGGTGGAGCAAACTCAAGGTGCTGAATTGTCTAATTCTGCTGTTTTTTATGACTTTACAGCAAAACCCTTGCATGGAAAGTTTGAAATGTCGGTGTGCAACACAGTAATCAGCATTAATGAGGTGTAAAATGAAGACAGAAAGTGCTGGAGAATCACAGAGTTGTTACGGTGCAGGAGAAGGCCACTCAGCCCATCATGCCTGCACTGGTTCTATCCCCTAGTGCCGATCCCCTGCCTTTTCCCCATATCCCTGCGCACCATTTCTATCCAAATAATCATAAAAATGCCCTCTTGAATTCCTCGGTTGAACCTGCCTCTACCATACTGTCGCAGAATCAGAGAGTTGTACAGCACGGAAACAGACCCTTCGGTCCAACTCGGCTATGCCGACCAGAAAACCTAAAATTCACCTCGTCCATATGCCTGCAATTGGCCCATGTTCTTCTAAACCCTTCCTATTCATATACCCATCCAGATGCCTTTTAAATG